TAGTGATTTTGATACAAAGTATAATTCATTGTCATTTTCATTGTTATCACCACAATCATCGTCATTGGTATTGTCAATGAAGTGATATTTTTCGTCACCATGGTTATCTTTCTCTAGATGAGCATGTCTTTGCTTAACTTCTGCAAGGTGTTATTGAGACTGTAAGTGCAGTGAAGAAGGGAACATTCTAATCTGCTTGCCTGTTCATCTTATTTTGTAATGTGCAGCAAATTCTTTAGTTTTACTATTGTAAACAAGTCTGTACCCTTGCACAAAGCTGTATTCTCATAGATATATAATTTTATGAACTGAGGCTAGAGGTGGTGCTTTTCAACTAATGCTGAATTTTCAAAACAAGCACCACCTCTTAGCATAGGTTCTTATGTTGTTATAACATTTAAGCAGTGATGAATTATTGTTGAACTATTTAACTTAACTTGTCAGTTTCATGACATATACTATTGTAGCAAGTATTTTGGTCAAGCCAAATATATTCACATACTGTGTATTAAAATTTTTGTTTGTGTGTGTGATTTTTTGACCTATGGGAGGAAATTACATGCTACACTTGCTTAGAATTTGCTATGTGATGAAATTAATCAGGGCAGCCTTAAAAAATGAGTCCATTTTCCCCTTGCATTACCTCTCTTGCATCTGGAACACTTCAACCCTTTCACTTCCAAGATCTCATTAGTAATACACCGATTCAGGAAAAAACCGGAAGTCGTATGGAAATGAAGCTTAAGGGCCCTTCGGTCGCATCACCTGGCAGTAAATATAAACTCCATAAACAATCGCTCTCGAAAAAGTTTTAAGATGGAGCAATTAAATAGTGAAAATGTCAAATTGACACCCGAAGATATGCCGGGAGCTTCGTTCAAAGATTCAGGAATTTTCAAGTTAACACTGAAACCAGTTTTAACTGGTTTACTCTTAACTTGAAAATTTCTTGTTACTTTTTACTTGTTATTTTTTAAAATTCTGGTTAAAATGTAGGGGAGTGAACCAAGGTGGTAACAAGAAAGTCCTTTACGAAAGGTAAGCATAAGCATAACTATAAGGTGAAGATTTCTTAACTTAAGCTTAATAAACCGATTTGAAACATACGATAAACTGTATCTCTTAATTCAGGCATAGCAGAAAGGTTCTTCACTCTGTGGATCACGAAACAAATTTCATTGTACGTTTCAAATCGGTTTAAGTTAAGAAATATTCACCTTATATGATAGTTATGCTTACCTTTCATAAAGGACTTTCTTGTTACCGCCTTGGTTTACTCCCCTACATTTTAACCAGAATTTTAACTGGTTTACTGTTAACTTGCAAATTTCTGGATCTTTGAATGAAGCTCCCGGTATATCTTTGGGTGTCAGCTTAACATTTTCAATATTTAATTGCTTCATCCTAAAACTTTTTTGAGAGCGATTGTTTATAGAGTTTGTATTTACCGCCAAGTGATGCAAAGACCAAAGGGCCCCTAGGCCTCGTTTCCATGCGACTTTTGGCTTTTTCCTGAATCGGTGTATTCTCCTTACTGTCTGACCCACAATTCTTATAATGATAATAATAATAATTATTATTATATATTTATATTGCGCAAATTAACACGTGGATATGATCAAATGCGCATCACAACACTTTTCGGGGGACTTTGGCCGGACTGCATCAGCAGTTTACAAACAATCGAAGGAAACTTATTTGAAGATGCCCCCTCCCCTCCAATTCCCAGTAAACAGGCCAGACCACATCACAGTAATCTCGTGAGTGGGTTCTTTAACGTCCCCTGCCTAACCAAATTAACTAATTAATAGATGCAGGAGACAGGACCTACGGTTTATTCGTCCTTATCCGAGAAGACTAGAATGTCCATCCATTTCTTGATATAGAAAGGTAGCGCATTCTCCTCAGTTATTTTAAGACCTTGAGTGTTGGTCCAGCCAGGGCTCGAACCATTGACCTCGACCTCCCGCACAACAGTCCAGCACTCTAACCAATTGATGTGAGTTAGGAGAATTGGATATTAGATCAAACCAGAAGCTTATGACCCAGTCATAGTTGAAGCCAATAGACCTCAAACTGTAATTTTAACTCGAACATTTTGTTCATGTCAATTACTGCAAAGCATCCACCTCATAATCGATTCCCCATGATGAACCCAGGTTAAAGTTTGTGAAAAGTTAAATCTTAATTAGCTTGGCATCTCTTGGAACTAGAAAATCTTGCAGATCTAACTTGTGTGCCAGTTAAATAATCTTCACTTCATTGTTTCATATAGAAAATATATTATATAAAGTTTACATATTTACACAAAATGCACATTTATGAAATTGCCACAGCCACAAGTACTGTATGTCCACTGTACAGTTATTGAAAACTTTTTGGGAAGTTTGGGTGAGTTTGCAGCAAGTATTCCTTTGGAAATTGAATTGGTATAGATAAAATGGTGTAGTTATTCTAAATTTTGTTTTCTGATTTTCTCTGTGAGTATGTAAAAGGAGGGGGGGGGGTGGCAAAAAGCAAAGAGACAACACACTTGGTGACAAGGATGCTGTACATTATCTGTTGGTGTAAGTCATAATTGAAGTCATTTAAACACTTCTTGGAAGAGTTAAGTTTCAACCAGAAGACAGTGATACATGTATGTACAAATAACATAGTCCCTTGCCAAAGGGAACTAGAACTCTTGTACAGGTGTGCACATCTAGGTGGTGCAGTTTAAGGCCATCTTGTATCCAAAACATGTTATGAAAATGGAGCTTAACTACACAGCCAGGGTCGATAGCAGCCACTGTTGGGAAAATGAGCATGTGCCTCTCTCCTTCAGGTAGAATAAAAAAAACAGACACCAGCCCACAGTGGAAATCAAGCCAAATATTACACAGAAGGTTAACATATCCCCTTAATTAAAGTTAGACCTGCAGCCAGCCAAGACAAGTAGAGGAGTATATCGACCGAAAAAAAAACTGTTATTGTGTTATCTTGGGTATGATTGTGGTTGAAACTGTTGTTGCTGCATTTGCAGCTGTTGTAGTTGTTGTATCTGCTGTTGAAGCTGTTGCTGTTGCATCACCTGTTGCTGTTGCTGTTGCTGACTCCCACCCCCTCGGTCTATTGAAAAACAAAAGCACTTGATAGAGTCGCACTCCGGTAAGGCACAGTTACAAGCACAGTTGCAATCACCACACTGGAAGACAAAAAAATGCAAATAAACTTGTTAGCACAGTGCGTGCTGTTTGCAACAAAATAATAGTGTGATTATGAAGTTGAATGTAATAACATACAGCACACTGTGGTCCTTGACAGTCTTGACACGGTTTACCACCAGGCTCAGCATTCATACAGCAACAGAATGTGTTATCA